AATATATGAAAAATATATGAAAAATTGATGTGGGTACTCAAATGAACGCTCTCGATGAATGTAACATCGGGATGAGCTTATATCTTAAAAAATGTCAATCTTGTCAACTAATGATAATTTTTAAGATATAAGCTCATTCCGATGTTATACTCATCGAGAGCTTTCATTTGAGTACCCACATAAATTTTTCATATATATATATATATATATATATATATATATATATATATATATATGTAAATATGAAAAATATATCAAATGCATGTGGGTACTCAAATCAAAGCTCTTGATGAGGATAACATCAGGATGAGCTTATATCTTTAAAAATGTCAATAATTAAAAAAGTACAGCACAATTCAACAAAATTCATTATTTAATAATGTAAAATTTTATTTATTTATAAATTCTTGGATCAAGTAAAATTTACCTAAGAATAATTTCTTAGTTTAAGAATTTTTCTGCTCAAATCAATAAGACGAAGTTCTTCAAAATTATTTACTTAATTTTGTTTTCTGTGCACGTTTCTTTTTACACTATATTCTTCATTTGCCTACATCAACCCCGTCATTATCTCGACAATTAACGCTCTTGTCTCAGCAAATAATCTAATATTTATTCTTACCTCGAGAATCGAAAAATTTAATTCCGCGGTAAATTTAATACCCTTTTAAATTACATACAAAGTGTACCTTAGTAAACTCTTAGCTATAATTTAAGGGTGAATTTTTCTTTCCTTACCTCATACGATTTACGTTTAACTCCCAATGGAACTCGTTTTATCGCTTCCTTCACTTTCTTCTTCTTGGAAGTTACTGCAGAACTGAAACCAACGATTACAACCAGCAAGCGTTTCTGACCCAGCGATAAATTACCAAAGACTTCCTGACTTGATCTTCTTACTCACACTCTTATGCCTCTCACCGCTAAACTTGACTTACAGTTAAATTCAACTTAGTCGGTAAATAAATTCCGCATCTTACGAATAAATATATTTATACTAGCTGCAATACGTAGCGAAGATATGTTTATTCATACTCAAAGATGGCGGTGTACTCTTCACTACACACTATATATAGTATACAGTACATACTTTACGATACTGTAGTAATATAACATGCAAGTTAACAGTAGCCCGTGAGATTATTTCCTCAGGATTCTGGGTTGAGCTTGACGTCAATAAAATGTAAGCCGGAAGACGAAAGCGAAGGGTAGTTCTGATGTTATTTTAGTACGTTATAGTAACTACTGCAACAACTATGACTATAACAAAATGGTCTGATGGCTGGAGTATAGTTTAGTATAGGGAAAACCTGGCGAGACGTGTGTAGACGACCGAAAGCCACAAAATGGATCCGCCGAACCGTGCAACCTACTTCTTTTCCGAAAGATTATGCGAGACATGACATGACATGACATGTGTAGATAAAAATAATATACTTTATATTTTCACGTTATCTAAATTATATAGATATAAATAAGGATATTTGTTGTGAAGAAAAGAATAAAGCTTGATACTAAATTTGGCAATGAAATTTTAAATGGATCTAAACAAAACTATGATTTACTTTTTGCGGTTCGGGATATCCTGAAAGTTGTTTTCGCGAAGTTGTTTTTCGGAAGAATCAAACTTTTTTGTTGTAAAAATCCAGAAATTTAATTTTTCGTCTTTTCCCAAAAAGAAGAATGTTTTTAAATTTAAAATTTGCGTTACTAAATTGTTATAACTTGTACTAAACATTTAATTATTTAAACATTTAAATTTACCTTTTTAAACCCTATTATTTTTACTTCCTCTATTATTAGACATTATTAGTACATCACAGAGTTCATATCTATATTATTAAAATCATTTCTAATTATAAAGTTTTTTAAGCTTGATCCTGTCTGTCTTTTATATTCAATATTGATACACGTGTACTTTATTATAAAACTTATGTATACTTTTTCCATTCGGCTATTTGTCTTCACGTATAAATTGAATAAATAAATAAAAATATTTTATTATTATTGGATTTCATAGAAATCTAACTATTGCATTGATCCTCATGACGGAACTTTTGAAAAATTTTTTTATATTTGAGGAGTGGAGTTTCAGAATCGAGACAAAAAACTGTTTATCTTCGATTATAAATATTTTTATTGAACTTTTTTAATTTAGCTGTAAAGTGGTATCGGTTATGAAGCTACAATTCGATTTTCATTAAGAAATTTTTATAATTCTCGAAGTAATTAATATTTAAAAGTTTAAAAAAGTGTTCTTTTAAAATATTAAAAGATACCCTTTTGAAAATTAGCTCCTCATTTCGACTCAGCTCGTCAAACGGATTCAGAAAATGCATATGGTTCAAAAATTTATATATGGGGCATTCCATGCCAAATCGACCACTTTTGACACCGACCCTTTTCGATTTTTCTGAAATTTTCGTATCTTTCTCTACCCTATTGAAAACAATTTTCAGAATTTTTTCAAATTTTTTTACCCAACCAAAAAAAAGTTACGAGTTATTACAAAAAACAGCTTTTTCTTTGTTAAATAACCATGACTTTTTTGAAAATTGACTTTTTGAGATGTTTTTTTTTGAAATTTTTGTCTTTAAATGTACTTAAAAAAAAAAAAAAAATCTAACTATTGCATTGATCCTCATGACGGAACTTTTGAAAAATTTTTTTATATTTGAGGAGTGGAGTTTCAGAATCGAGACAAAAAACTGTTTATCTTCGATTATAAATATTTTTATTGAACTTTTTTAATTTAGCTGTAAAGTGGTATCGGTTATGAAGCTACAATTCGATTTTCATTAAGAAATTTTTATAATTCTCGAAGTAATTAATATTTAAAAGTTTAAAAAAGTGTTCTTTTAAAATATTAAAAGATACCCTTTTGAAAATTAGCTCCTCATTTCGACTCAGCTCGTCAAACGGATTCAGAAAATGCATATGGTTCAAAAATTTATATATGGGGCATTCCATGCCAAATCGACCACTTTTGACACCGATTCTTTTCGATTTTTCTGAAATTTTGGTATCTTTCTCTACCTTATTGAAAACAATTTTCAGAATTTTTTCAAATTTTTTTACTCAACCAAAAAAAAGTTACGAGTTATTACAAAAAAACAGCTTTTTTTTGTTAAATAACCATAACTTTTTTGAAAATTTACTTTTTGGGATGTTTTTTTTTTTGAAGTTTTTGTCTTTAAATGTACTTTAAAAGAAAAAAAATAAAAATAATAATTCGGATTCATATTCAATGTTTTTTTTAACTTTTTGGAAGATAGAAAGAAATAGATAGATAGAAGAAAAATAGAAAGAAAAAGTTTACCACTCTGAAAATTTTAGGGAATTTGCAAAAAATACTGAAGTTTTTTATAAAAAAGAAAAATCGAAAATCAAAAGTGTCAATCATCCCGAAATTTTCGTTTTTTTTCAAAAAGTTAAAAAAAACATTGAATATGAATCCGAATTATTATTTTTATTTTTTTTTTTAAAGTACATTTAAAGACAAAAATTTTTAAAAAAAAAACATCCCAAAAAGTCAATTTTCAAAAAAGTTATAGTTATTGCATTGAACAAAAAAAAAAGCTGTTTTTTTGTAATAATTCGTAACTTTTTTTTGGTTGGGTAAAAAAATTTGAAAAAATTCTGAAAATTGTTTTCAATAGGGTAGAGAAAGATACCAAAATTTCAGAAAAATCGAAAAGAGTCGGCGTCAAAAGTGGTCAATTTGGCATGGAATGCCCCATATATAGTCGGCCTTGTCACTTCTCTAACTTCCGCAGTTCTGTACGGGTCTCAATAAAATGTAAGATGAGCCAAATCTGTCGATTAGTTTAGAAATGAGAGCAATTGAAAAATTGAAAAAATTTTCACTTTTGCGGTATTTTCATGCAATTAAAATTGAATGCGATATCACATTACCGATTACCGGTAATTTTTTGCCTAGAGTGATGGTGAGGTATGCAAATTAAAGCTAGCTTTCAGATGGAATTTACAGAAATTTAATGTGAAAATTTTTGCAATTTAAAAAAATTTTTGAATTGCTCTCATTTCTAAACTAATCGGAAAAAATAGACCGAGAAAAAATTTTAAAGTTATGAAAAATTCATATTATTTCATTAAAATTATTATAAAATAATAATTAAAGTTTCTTGCCTATTGGTCAAGTGACTAGTGAATCTAATTAAAGCCAAAATAAAAATTATAATAATAATAATTGTACCACACCCACAATTTTCCTGAAAAACAACCACCCTCAGAATGATAGCTCCATTTTTTGTTACAGAAAAAAATTTTATTATTATTATTTTATAATAATTTTAATAAAATCATATGAATTTTTCATAACTTTAAAATTATTTCGCGTCTATTTTTTTCAGGATTAAAAATTACCTACTTTCTCCGACAGATTTAATGAAATTTTACTATTGCATTCGTTTTGATGTCATTGTTTTATTGTTACAGAAGTTGTATACTGTTATTTTAATTTATATTATTTTATAAAAAATATGTTTTTTTTTTTTTATTGAGAAGTCTACTTCCATTTCGGCTGCCGAATGGTCTTTTTAACTTTATATATTAAGTAGCAAAAACAAAATTACAAACTCAGAGATATTTACCGAGAAAACTCTATTACTTGTTCTTTATTAGGGTTTTCTTCCTTGCGTAGATATTTATTATCACTTTATTCCTCGTCTATTACTCGGGTTATCTAAATTAATGTACTAACTATTTAATCACTAGGATGAAAATGAACCGACGTTAATTCCCCCGTTATTAAACAGAAAACGGCAGCGTAATCTACCAAACGTGTAGACAAATATTAAATATTTAATGATAAGCTAAAAGCTATTCGTGTCAATAAATATAACTCCACAGTTGTATTACCATTATTTATTCAAACAGTCTAGATAAATTGGACATTTACCTCGCGATCCATCTCTGACTCTAATTAAATTAACTTTATCCCCTCCTTCTATATATCTATACTGCGAATTATACGTCTGTAGGTAAAGTAAATACTTTATTTATTTTCCGTATAAGAGATGATACGTGAAGATTATACACTCACCCAACAAACTGTATAAATTTCTTTATTATTCGGAATTTTTATTCTAAAAAAAAAAAAAATTCCTAAATCCAAGCACTTGAGTTTCAAGGCAAAGCTTCGGAGCTTTTGCAAAAGCTCGTGTTACCATACGAATTGTACGTGCTTATGGAAATACAAATATATTATATAATCGGACTGTTTTTGCGCCATCGATTTTACTTTACTCCTTCTTACTTCTTCTTCGACAATTCCAGGGCTGAAATTAAGCATATAACATATTAATATTCGCAGGGTATATTATAAATATACTTATAGACGGAGGCAATATTTCTTACTTTGTCACTTACGTGCCTCGAAATATTACAATGCAGATGGATACTGGTGCACATTTTATTCAGTTTTTTTTTTACAGTCGTGGTATGACTACAAGCTGCAGTGGGATCCTAAAGAGTACGGAGGGGTCGAAATGCTTCACGTACCGTCCGATCACATATGGCGACCTGATATAGTTTTGTATAACAAGTAAGATTTTAGTTTTTTAATTATTCATCTGTTTGATAAAAAATAGTACATTATTTTATAAAAAAAAAAAAATTTCTTCAAATTTTTTTTTCTTCAGATACATAATTAAAAAATGACCTTGTATCTTGTCAACTATTGACATTTTTAAAGATATAAGCTCATCTCGATATTACACTCATCAAGACCTTTCATTTGAGTACCCACATCAGTTTTTCATAGATTTATATATATATTATATATATGTATATATGAAAAATATATCAAAA